TTACCTAAATCTGCTTCAATTTTAGTTGTGGGATTAGTGTGTGTATTCTATTCTACAATGGGTGGGATAAAAGCATTACAGATCATTACAGATTTATTACAAGTAATTGTAAYGATTATATTTTGTGATTGGTTATTGTACATATTATTAATTGTAAATACATATTACAATACTATATTCGCATTATAATRCACACATGTTGTAAACAATTGAATATTTTTTTTTATCCAACTATTCAAGTCACTTCTCATGTATACGTATCGGTAATTGTGGTTATTGGGGTTGCTTTGTATGAAACTGGCGGTCTATCGGAAATTTTGGACATTTCTTATAAATATGGACGAAATAATTTCGGAAAGTAAATAAAAATGTATTTATTTGATTTATTTATTGATATTATATTTTGAAAGTGATTAGTATTTGATTATACTTGTATTACATCTCCCAGTCCTTTACAATTCCTAGGCGGAAATGCACTGTAGTGCATATACATATTCAGTTTACAAGGCGGTAATTTATCTACCAATAACTAATAATAATAATAATAATTATTCAATAACTAACGTGATATATTTTATAATATCATTTGGGCTAAACAACCTATATTGTATTTATTTTTGAACCGATTTAAAATTGTTCCATGGCAACGCTTTTCAAGTTTATTATTCCATGTTAATAATTATTACATTGTAAAAAGTCATTTGTCTACTTGTCAAGTGGCATTCAATACCTGTTCTAATCAATCAAAATGGATTCACAAAATAACCATCATAACCATTGTCCAGGGCAAAAATTGATAACCGGTAACCATGTCATCAACGGTATTAGAGAAATGCTGCCTCAGAGCAATAGGACGGAACTTACCATCGAGAAACAAAACAAATTAACCACATTTAGACGTCATATGACACGCAATGCGCCRGCGCGTAGCTACATGTCATCATTGCCGTGTCCCCCTAAACACAGAACAAATAATGCGTGGAAAAAGCCACCACCCATTCCGAAGCTGACGTTGCAAACTGAGTCGACAATTATCAAACTCAATTGGGACGATGGCATCAGCTCGGGCTCATATTATCGGTACGAGGCAATAGCTGGCTATGAACTGTTCGCGTGCGTATTAGAAGACCGTGCTAATGAAGTGAAATGGGAATATTTGACTTTTTTAGCTGAACTCTCGCCGAGTTTTGGTCAGCGGCAGTCAATCACCTGTGAGATGAAAGATTTGGTCATAGGCTTTGAATATTACTTTGCTGTCCGCTCGGTGGACGTGCACGAACGACGTGGGCCCTGTGCCGTAGTATACACGCTACTCTGATATTGCCGTCAACAATACRATACTTTGAAGAAGTACGTCAGTTTGTAAAAAATATCATCAACACGTCCAGAGYCATGATAAATAAGTCTGTTTAATTGGATGTCAAATGATGTGTTCTATAATTTAGCATTATATAAATTTCTGTAATGTAAATTTTGTTGTCTTTTACCTGAGTTATCATTTTAGTTTTATTATTATAGTTATTTATATATATTGACGAATACTTCATATTCTGTGAAGTATTAAGTACTTTGAATTATATTGTCATATCAATATTTTTTATTAACCGGTAAGTTCAGTTCAAAAAAATATTTTCAAAAATTGCAGGGTTCTGATATGTAAGTAAAGGCGTGAATAACTTTTAACGGATAGATGAGTTTGGAATTTAACCATATATAGTACAATTTTAATATAATAAAATTTGGAAATTTAAAGAACACAAAACTATATCAATAAATAAATAACTCAAAACGAGTTAAAATATTTTGAAAATGTTATCATGTGTGTAAAAAAATTGTGCTAAAGCAAAAAGT